AAACACATTAAGTGGCACTGTTACTCTAAAGCACCCTGTAACTATTTAAATATTCAAGTACTTAAGTTCATTTTTGGAAATAACGTGTATATGTGTGCTTTTGTCGACAGTCGAGGGAACATTTGGCTGCTTCAGCTCCGAGCAGCGGTCATACCGTCGTTAATTACTTAAAGTTCAACTAATAAGTGACGAGCAGGTATTATCATTTGCAATGCAAAACCCTTGTTGAGACTGTTTGTAGACGTTTTAGAGACAAACGTGGCTCGCTAACGTAGCTATGTGGCTAGTGTTGGACTCGCTGAGTAGCATTGCTGCTAACTCGTTAAAACTATTTTTAAGATGTTATTCATGAAAGTACGCGCACGAAATGACCGCGCTGGTCTTTATACGCACCTTTTAAACCCCCCCGCAGTTGCTGGATGTGGATTGTAGATATGAAAAGTAGCAGAGATAAGGGATCTAATCGAAGAAGTAACGATAGCTCATGACTAGCCTAGCTGCCGCCATACGCTGCCGTGACGTTTGTTCCTGTCCCGATTCCATTGGCTGAGCTTTCCACGTGACTACAGTTGGTCGTGCGGATTGGACGGTGCCCGACGAGCGAACTGCACGCTGATTGGTCGTAATGTTCTGAAGCATGATGAATGGGTTGTTTCAGAGACGTTTTCTACTCCACGGCTCTGATTTTAATCATACCAAGGTTTTATTTTTATTTTATAGCTTGATTCTTTAAAAATTATGCTGGTAGATATACAACGTAAAAAAAAAAAAGGGTAAACTTCTGTTCATTTAACTGCTAACCTACAGTGACGTTCACCTCAAATGCCTATTTTAAAGCACTTTTGTTGTCATTTTTAATTTTTCATAATTAAGATGAAAAATAGAGAACAGAAAAGAAAGAGACAATATGTACAATGTGGTCATACACTTAAATAAATGAGTGATGAACTGTGCAGGAATGTGCAAAACAGGGGAATCTGCAAGTGTGACACATAATGATATTTAGATGATAGAAAATCATTAGGAGATCATTAGACTATACAAAATATTTTTACCAGCTTTTTCTGAACTTAATTTCTTTACTTAATAATAATAATATATTTTATTATTATTATTATAAGAACAAAGTGATTTATCAGAGTTAGGGAAAAAAGCCAATGACACGACATATCCATCATTCAAATAGTTGTCTGTTACACAACATAGCCTACATTTAAAAGAAGTAGGCTAAATTCACAATCAAATAATTGAAAAATACAGAAAACAGAAATTATCTGTATAAATGGACATCTTTCAATGAAGAACTGAAAATTCATTATAAAGCTATTCTGTAAAAATGGCTATTGAGAGACAAAAACTCAAACAGTTTCCTAGGTGCCAAACAGTGTGTAGGTATATATTCTCAATTCACCTTAATTTTGAAAATATACTAAAGTCAGTTATATGTGCTTCAGTAGATTTTTCAGTAGTTTCAGTCTTTCCCCAATCGTATTGTTTGTTGAAATGTCACTTTTGTGCATGCAGTTTTATAAGTTGTCATTGTTTACATTTGTCACTAGTACATACATCATTATAACACACACCACTTACAGTATTTTTGGTCTTGTCCACCCGGTATTTAATGTTCTGCATCATATTGTTGTTGCTCTTTTGGAACATTAAGACCACTCTCTCTCTCTCACACACACACACACACACCGACAGTCACACATACGTATCTACCAGACCACAGCATCTTCTCAAATGCTCAAATTGGACAAAATTAATTTAGATTTCCCAATCTACAAGAGACAAGCTCTTTCATAAAATGTCTGGAAGTTCGCTATGAAATTTTGTCCAGAATTTGAGTTTTATATTAATTCTTTAAAGAGCTCAATGAGAATATGCGAGATCAAATGTTTACACTGTTAGAGTTGGAAATATTGAATAGAAATATATATTTTACCACAACTAAATGTAAGCATGTTTTTTTTATCCTCAACCCCTAATTTTGTGTTGTGACATTGTCTTTCTTTTCTACCTATCCCTTTTGACAAAAAAGAGCCTTACCTTCAGTGAAAGATGATCGAGACCAGGTGGTAGTCCTCATCCAAGATTTTAATGCAGACTGTATAAATTGTCGGAAGAATTTTCCTGATGGTGGTGCTATAGCCTCCATCTAAATCTTTCATGTTTTGTGAGGATGAATTGTTTCCGTTTTCAACCCCTCTAACTTTGGAAAAGTTCTACTCACTAAATTCTCACCATTCACAAGATCAAAAACCCTTTTCCCCTCTCATTGTCACCCACCAACTCTTTTTTGTTGCCTGAAAGCTATTCAACCAATGTTTTCTAACATACAACTAAAACAATCCCAGCAGCCAAATATTATCAGTCTCAGTTTTCTCTGTGGTATTCATAAGGGAGTGAGAAAAGATTAAAAAAAGACAAAAAAATTGAAACCATCTCACATGTACAATATAAAGCAGAGACAGTTTGATGACAATGAGGCAAATCATAAAATATGGCAGGCAAACAAAGTAATAGAACACAAAATGCCTTTTCAAAATCTTCATTATGGCAGTAACAAATCTGGAGATTACCTTGCGTTGCCTGAAACCTCAATTTTATGACACAATAGTGAAGTAGTTTTATTTTCGGTATCTGTCATTTGAAATTTGGTCTATGCTCTCATTTTTTTGTTAAATGAAGCCCAGCGTCCAAACTTCACATTTTTACCAGAATCTTGTGTGATTACCCGGATGCATTATTACCTTCAAGCTGCATATTTTGGTGGAAAATGTTCAAAACCAATCACCCTCCTACTACTGCACACTTGACTTATTGCAACATAATCAGTGAAAGTACATGTTAGTGCATGTGCAGTGTGTGTGTGTGTGTGTGAGAGAGAGAGAGAGAGAGTGCATGCTAGCACAACCCACTTCTTGCCGTAAGGATGTGGTTTACCCTGTGCAGCAAGTTCATGCCGGAAGCTCGACGGCTTCTATCATCCACTACTTTTTTTTTCTGTGACTGCGATGTGCTCATTCTCTCTGTAAACCAAAGACACCAGTGTTTTCACAGTGTTGTTCAAAGCTGTTACCATGTTCCCCAGGGTGATTTTGAAGGGAACTATGTTTAAAAAATCTCAACAAAAGAAAAGAACATCACCATGCAACTACAAGGAGAGGTTTTTTGTATTGGACACCCAAGACCTGAAGTATTCTGAACGCCGTCCGGGGGTAAGTATGCACTTAATCAATGAATACTCTGGCTTTAAATTATACAATCTGGAGGCTGGGTCTAAATTTGGCCTTCTGAGAACCAACTATATTTTGAATCATATCGACGGTGCGTATAAAGTAAAGATCATGTTCCTTCAGAAAAAGCCCATGGTGAAAGGTTGCATCGAGTTGCACAAAATCAAGTGTGTGGAAATTGTGTGCAGTGATGTCCCCATACCATGCAACTATAAGTACCCTTTTCAGGTGAGTTTCAAAATTTCTCAAAGAATATGCGCTTAAAATGACACAATAATTAAATATAATGTTATGTACAGGAAGTATAATGTATGATTAAGCATGTAGTATAAGTATGACATAGCACAATGCCAACGTAGTGGCCTATTTTCTCATATGGAAATGTCTCTACAGGTTTTTCATGACAACCATTACCTCTACATTTTTGCCCCTGACAATGATTGCCGTCAGAGATGGGTCAGAGCTCTCAAAGAGGGTAAGCAATTTTAGAACATAATGCTGTAGACAATGATGGCCGTGCAACGTTTTATCGTGGAATTATGACTCTAAATAATACTAATTCATAAGCTTGCTTTTTATAGTTTTAAAAAAATTCCTTTTATTCTGTCTGATATAGAGACAAAAAATAACAATTTGGTTGCAAAATACCACCCAAATTTCTGGATGGATGGAAAATGGAGATGTTGCCAACAGACAGAGAAACTGGCAACAGGTTGTCATGTATACGACCCAGTGGGTTATGGTTTGTATTTTTTATTTTATTTTCATTCTTTAATATATCTTTTCATCATCACATGAATAATGTAAAGATTGTTCTACCACGTGATAAGGGCAAATGTCAATCTTGATCTAAATTCAGTAGTGTTGCGTAATGTACACAATCTAGTATAGTTCTGGGTGTGCCAAAAACATTCTCCAATTTCATTCTTCTAATTCCTCCACAGCTTCTAAAAAGCCTCTTCCTCAACTCCCGGATACAGAGGTACCACTTTCTAAAGCATAAATAACATGATGTAATATAATTGGGGATTTACTCAGTAATGATCAATTTACACATGGCAGACAAAATAACCTTTTTGATATTTATTCTGTAGCTTGTTCGGCTAGACTTTGAGACTGTTTCACATTTACACATTTTCAAGACTGCTCCTTGTGACATGATTAATAATTATTCTTTTTTTTTAACCAGTGCACCTGTGGTTTGGGCACAGATGATTTGGTGTCTTATGTAGCTCAGTTTTTTATCTTGCACTGCTCATATCTTGCAGTCACTATCTCACTAGGCCTCCTCAATGGCAGACATAATACTTGTTGTAAAACATAATATCATTTTCTATGGCATCTGTTTTGTGTTTTGTCTGCTGTGTGTGTTCTGGTCACTGCTTTCTTATTAGCTACTGTGTGAAGATACATTACTGTATGCAAAAAACTAAAACAGCAGAGCTTTGAAATTCATATAGCTCTAATAGTATCCCTAATCATGTTTTTCAGTAATCCTTTTTTTTAACTCTGCCAGATGAGACCACATGATGCAGGACAGAGGATGGTCATTGCTCTGCAAGACTACACACCGCTCGGAGACGATGACTTGCCTCTTCAGAAAGACCAAGAGTACATCCTGATTAACAGCTCCCACACTGACTGGTGGAACGTACAGAATGACAAGGGGTAAGGCACATAAAATGTACATCCTAGTTTTAGTAGCAACTTTCAGCGAAAATAACAGTACTGTTCATATAGTAAGGGTGATTAAGGTGATTAATTAATTTTTTTTCTAATTCCTCATCAGGGCCACAGGCTTTGTACCTAGTATTTACGTAGCGGAAAAATTTGGGACCAACTTTGAGAGATTTGAGTGAGTTTCATTTCTGCTTATTCTAATTGGTAGCACGTAGATATCTGCAAATCCATTTTGTTCTCCACAGAATTAATTTATTTGTGGTTAATTTGTCTTCTCACAGATGGTACAACAAAAACATAACCAGAGCGGAAGCAGAGGAATTGTTAATGATAGAGGTAAAAATTATGTCAGTGTTTAAGGATCCCGTGATTAGTCAATTTTCATTTGTTTGTGCTTACAGCTGTGTTTGGACAGAAAAAGAATGCTCCAAATAATAATTCTGACGATAATTAGCAGGGTGTTGCTCCTGCATGATGCAGTGCACTTTTGCTGTGAGCGTGCCAGCCACAGTAATCTCGCATTTGCAAAATTAATGCAAATGCACCTGCACAACAAGAATCCGAGATGACATGGGACATGAAAAATGTCTCACAACCACAATGTTTCCTCCAATGTTGAATTTCCTGCTGTGAAGTACTATCCATCATATAGTACTCAAAATGACTACTAGGCCAGCGCTGCTAGTTGCAGATTAACAGCCACTAAACATGTCTAACATTTGTATTACAAATGTATTATTTAGTTTTGATCAATTTTGTGGTTTCAACACTCTACTTTTAGGGAAAAGAAGGTGCATTCATGGTGCGTGACTCGAGACAGGCAGGAGTCTACACAGTGTCAGTCTTCACCAAAGCACCGGGGTAAGCACTTTTTTAAGTATTTTGTGACAAATAATGCATCTGATATCCACGATGACATGTGACTAAAACTATGTGTGAATCACTAGATGCTGGCAGAATAAATAGTAATAGCTTGACACACCTGGTGTGTAATTACAAGGAAGCTGACTTGAATTCAATGGCATTTTTATGATTTCATACTGTTAATTTTAAGTGCTCAATTTGGAAACGTGTGTGCTTTGTTGCATAAAAGCATCTCTTTGTTGCCTTTAGGTCTAATGGGGAGAAGAATCCAAGAATAAAACATTACCAAATTAGGCAGACAGAGACGGAAGAGGTCTCATTTTACTTGGCAGAGAAGTACCTGTTCAGCACCATTCCTGAGCTAATCCATTACCATCAACACAATGCTGCTGGTAAGTGTGCTGACTTTCCGCATGCAACAGTATTACCATAAAAGAGATCAGATGCTAAAAGGAAGTTCGGGTGAAAAAACAACTCATATTTCATCAACATTGTAACATAGGAATGAGGAATTGATTGGATGATTGAAATACGTCTTAATATCTCTGTGTGTGACCTGTGTGGCAGGCCTGATAACGCGTTTGAGACGCCCTGTCTCTAAGGATGGAGGCTGCTCCCAGGAAATTGTTGAACCCTCAAAAGGTTAGAGGTGTACTGTTGTATAAATGAGTCAGCTGGTTGAACTGGATTTCAAAACAATCACAACTTAATGCTGAAAATATTCTTTTTGCTGACCTCTAGTGGTTCTCACAAAAGTATGCTCAGGGTGTGTTCTGACTGGTGTTTCATAATTCTCTGATTTGAACTCATGAAAAATAATTTTGTGATCTTATTGCTAAAGCCCACTTTGTTAGTAATTATAGAAAGGTATTAAGTAAAATTCTCTAATATTGCCTGCCTCTGGGGTTATTTTGTCTTTTCACCACCTGTTTTCTGCTCCACAGGTCAGTGGGAAGTGGACCCTGAGGAGCTGACCTTGGGTCAGGAGTTAGGGAGCGGGCAGTTTGGGCTGGTGTTAGAAGGGAGATGGAAGGAGAGGAAGGTGGCAGTGAAGATGATAAGAGAAGAGTGCATGTCGGACGAGGAATTTAAGGAAGAGGCGAGAGTCATGATGTAAGTGCAATTCATTAAGCTGCCCCGTATTGTTCGGGGCAAAATTATCCAAAAAACACTCTTATGTGTGTATCTGTGTGTGTTTTAACAGGAGATTGTCCCATTGCAAGCTAGTTCAGCTCTACGGTGTGTGCACCCAGCGTTCTCCCATGTGTCTGGTGTTTGAGTTCATGGAAAACGGCTGTCTGTCTGAATACCTGCGAGCCAGGAAAGGGCATTTATCTCAGGACGTGATGTTGGTGATGTGTCTGGATGTCAGTGAGGGGATGGCTTACCTGGAGAGCTCCAACTTCATCCACAGAGATCTGGTAAACCAACAAAAAATAACTTTTTATGATAAACCTTTATATCTCCGCTCCATTATAGTGGTTAATGCTTCCTCTGTTCCTCTGTTTTCTGCAGGCTGCCAGGAACTGTCTTGTTTCTAAGAACAATGAAGTGAAGGTATCTGACTTTGGTATGACCAGGTATGCTTTTCACAATCTACGTGTTCTTTACTGAATCTTTGTACTGTCCACCATATTGTATGTAGCTTTTTCATTACAATATTTATTATGTTTTCACGATAGTGAACTATATAACTCTGTGTGTTCGCTCTCTGCTCTGTAGATTTGTACTTGATGATCAGTACACAAGCTCCCAGTGCTCCAAGTTCCCTGTCAAGTGGTCGGCCCCAGAGGTCATCAAATACTGCAAGTTCAGCAGCAAGTCCGACGTCTGGTCATTCGGTATGTTCATGTGTTTTTTCTGTGCTGGTATTGTGTTTCTGTGTCTGACTTGTTGTCTTTTTTTTCAACAATTCACAACACACAACACTAAAATTATAGTTATGGAAGCTCACATCTGTAACTCGGAGTGTAAAAAGTATTGGGCGTTTAATTGATGTATTTATTTGTACAAGTGTGTGTACATGTGCCAAAGAATGTAACTACTGGTAGCATTTTTGAGGTGCAGTGCCAACTAGTGGATTTACAGTAATCTCCAGGAAGTTAATACTGCTAAGACTATCACTAAAAACAGGAGCTTAAGCATATTGACTTGGCATGAACAGTTCCCTGGGACAAGATTCTGTGTCCAAAAGTTGAGACTTTCTTGTATCCAACAGATGGTCAAAATGAATATGTTTACTTACTTCTAATAACTTCTATTAATTGATTTCAACCAAAATCAGGTTTGTTTAGATAAAGCAGCGATGGACTGGAATAGTGGGGATCATGTCAACTTTAACTACTCTTGGAGTGATATTCAATAATAACAGGAAAAAGTGTGGTTATTCAAAAACCTTAATACTAAATTGTAAGTGATAAATGTGAAAGTAGGTT